TGATCTTGTCCTGCAAATAAATGCTGTGTTAATCATGTCTATCATTTCCTTCTTGCTTTTTTTTCTTCCTCTCTCCATTATGCCTCTTGCTGTTTTTCTTTGTAGCCTATGAAGATTTCCATTCTGCTTGAACATTTTGGAATTTTATATGGCATGTATTTTTCTATTCCTAGGTGATGGCTTGGGTGAGGGTTACGGCATGCTTGGTCAGGCAGGAAGTGGGAGGTTGCGCGTGTCAGTTGCCCAAAGTAAACTATCTACTAAAGCTGCTAAAAAGTATGTTAACTATATCATGTTTGTTGTTCTTTCAGAAACATTTATAATTTTTCTGGCTATCAAAAGGTGATATATGCTGTGAGTTTATTAGAAATAGAATAACACTTTTTAAGTCTATTTTTTTCTTTCAATAATACGGTCTGTTTTGTCTGGCATTGCATGTAAACCTTTGTTTTATTGATTTTTTTATTTGATTTTTTAAGGTTCAAGGAGAAAAGTTACGGAAGTAGTGGTGCTACTTCCGGATTGACTTCAAGTCTGGCATTCACACCTGTACAAGTGAGTATATTTTTCATCCGTTAATTTGCTGCTATTTTAAGTTACAACATATACAAGCATTATTTTAATTGACTTCATGTATATTCATATCTATCCAGTTGTATTCTGCACCAGTTAAATTACTGTTATTTTGGTAAATTCATGTAAGCATTTGAGATGGCGAAGAATTTCAGACATATTTTGTGCTACTGCTAAGCACAATTATAAGGTGAAATTGAATTTGATGGCCAAAATCTTACTTTAAATTACCATGTGAATTCAAGATAGATTTCAGTATGCTGTATACGTGATGAGGATCAAATCACTTTCCATTTATTCTTCATAAGATGTGATTATTGTGTAATAAATATAAAATCTGTTAATTGTGAGGATAAGGGCTAAAATATTTTGGGATGATTCAATTAGGATAGTGATCAAGTTGATTCTTGACTTTGGGCCTAATAGGTTCAAGTTTGAAACCACAATTGTAATCATTTTCTCATTCTTAGGATTTGTACATTAAATCTTCACTTGTGAGATCAAAGGGATACCACTCAATCATGGGATTGGTGGTTCGACAAATAGTTATCTTTAGAGTCCAAAATTTTTCAACTAATCAAGATTTGAATTTAAAACGACATTGAATAAAATTTGATTTAATTTTAGATGGTTTTAAATTTAGAACTTTGTTAAAATTTTATTTCCTAAACTAAGCAATGTGAATATGAGTAGGAATGAAATCTACTCATTCCTCTATATATTTGATAGAAAGCAATATATATATATATAATGTGAATATGAGTAGGAATGAAATCTACTCATTCCTCTATATATTTGATAGAAAGCAATATATATATATATAATGTGAATATGAGTAGGAATGAAATCTACTCATTCCTCTATATATTTGATAGAAAGCAATATATATATATATAATGTGAATATGAGTAGGAATGAAATCTACTCATTCGGGCTTAAACACCCAACCCACACGGTACAATTCACACCAAAAAAATGTAAAAGATAGGTACAGATAGAAATAAAAAAAAAATCCAAAAAATCACCTGGGCGCTGAAAAAGTGTGGGTCATCCCAATCTAGTCTTGCCTCTGATTCTAGTTCTCGGTAGGGATCCAGGTAGCAGATTGGTAAGGTGTTGACCATTACCCATAGTAACTAAAGTATCATCCATAAGACTTTGGAGCTCTAGTAGATCTCCATTCTTCTTCTTCTTCTTCTTCCTGGAAGTGTAAATCTGCCATTCTTTTGAAGAATCAGCCTGATGGGGTAGAGCTGAAGCAGAATGACTACCAACAGCAGTACCCACAACAGGTTCTAGAATATGTGAAGTATGAGTTGCCTCAACACCGGATACTTCTTGAAGAAGTAGAGCTGCGAGGCTCTCTTGATTATCATTCACTATCATTTATAGGTAATAGTCCAACAATATTGTTTTCTATGGAGTTTGTAGGTGCCAACACTGCATCACTCGTAGTAACAGTAACAACAATGTCATGGGGGTTCTTCAGGGGCAACAAACACCTCATGTCTGGTAGTATCCTCCTCAAGTGGAACTAAAATGTCCACAGCAATGGGGTTAGACCTATCCTTATTTGCTTGAACCTTAGATTTCAAATTAGGATGAAGCTTGTGACATTTGCAAGGATATGATCAAATAACTTACAGTGGGTACAATATGGGGATTTGTGTTCCATGACGATTTGTTGCCAATAACCATTATGGGTTGTGCCCAACCGGATTTCTGTAACATCTTCAATAACATCAGATAAAGTAATATCCCTTTCCACAAATATTCTGGCCACCGAGGGTCTGGTTAGGTTAAAAGTAGGCAGATCTAGTTTCAAAGGATCCTCAAGGATGATCCCAATAGAGTAGAGAATCTGATAGTGAAAAAATACAGCTTGAGACCAGGTAAACAAAACCATACCGGTACAGTGAGAGTTTCATGATTTGGGTCAAAATTAGGAGACCATTTGAGTAACTTCATTGATTTGCCTTCGATATTAAGATATTTCTTGGAGAGAATTACGGTGTAGTCTTCAACCACTGTTATTGAATCAACACGTCTCTCATCCATGAGTCACACTTTTCACTTGCTTACTAGCTTGAGATCATTAACACTATCTACAGTCTTTCTGATAACCTCCATAGGTGGGTGTCCCCACTGAAATTTTCCAATAAGAGCAAACTTGAATTTTTTTGTCAGGGTAGAAATTTCTGATTCAGAGAAAAAAGATTGTTTCTTTTTCACCTTTCATACTTCCCTTCTTAATAAAAGGACAATCATTTGTACCCTCACTAATTTTCTTATAACTTGAGGGAATAGCACCGCAGACTCCACTTGAGGGTTACCCACCACATGGGTAAAGGAGACTTTGTCCGGCTCAACCAAAGAAGAAGGAAACGCCATTAGAGGCTGTCGGCATTAAAATTGTTGCGAGTTTGCTAAAAGGCAGCGGAGTTATCGGGCGTAGAAGCAGGAGCAGTGTCGAAATAGAAGAAAACCAAACAGTCGGGCGCAGACGAAGAGCGACAGAGGCGTGGAGCGATATCGAGCAGGAGTTGTATCGATATCAAGGAAGACGACGACGCGAGCAGTGGAGCGATATCGCGATGCGAACGACAACTGGGAGCTGCGAACGTCGACGCCAACTTAGACGCAGACGCCAGACGACGGAGCGAGAGTCGACGATGCGAGGTCCTTTCTTTCTAGCGGTAGAATCAATTGCGATCGAAATCACCATTGGAAGCCCTAGCCGACATCGTTTCAATCTATCTTGATCATATATATATATATATATATATATAAAAGCAAATTCAAGAAGGAAATAACAAAACTTAAGCAGTAAAATAGAACACTAGCTACAAATTATTATTCTAAAGCTTACTAGGCTTTACATGCCCAAACAGTTCTGGATTTCTTTCCATGGCGTGGATCTTTGGGATCCTGACTTTCTTGGGATTTTGATTTCCTTGGTGTGCGTTTATAGGTTTCTGATTTTCTTCTTTGGCATGGATTTATGGGTTCCAACATGCCTGCCCGAACTGTAGATGTCTTCTATTCCCAGCTTGGAGATGATTTCATCAAGTACTGTTCTTTAGTGAAAAAAATTAGCCAATTGAATGTTTTGGGGTACGTAATATATGCATATTATGCCTTCTTCCAAATTTTTCTTGATGAAGTATATCAAGGAATCAGATGTGATCTCCTTGACTTTATTTATATCTTTTTTTTTTCATTGCTTTTATAATTTTCTCAAACCATGCTCTAGATGATTGTTTTAGGTCACATAAGACATTTTTTAGTCTACAAATTATCCTAACCGTACCAATCACTTTAATTTTAGATAAACAACTACAACAACAACAACAAACCCTTAATCCCACTACGTGGGGTCGGTTACATGAATCTTTTTCTCCATTACGTCCTATTTAGCATCATATTTTCATTTTGTTCTAATAAATTAAGATCCTTTTTTATACAAGAAGCCCAAGACTTCCTAGGCCTATCTTTGTCTTTCTTAACATAAGTCGAATCCAAAACATCTACTCTCCTAATCGGATCATTAGATGGTCGACGCTTAATGTGACCAAACCATCTAAGGCGATTTTCTCTAGTTTTGTCTGTAACAGTCCTCATTTTGAGGTCATTTCTCCTCAACTTAGATTATAGGATCTAGCTCTAAGGCTTCCTATCGAGTATCTTAGAGGACTAGAGTTAGGACCTACCCTTTTTTTAGAAATTCAAACCACTTCTTGATTCTCTTGTGGTGTCTCGCATGGGTGATCTCAAGCCATCATCATTTGGTTGAGTGGTTAAAGACCATCATGTAGACCGCCATGTGGAGACTCACAGAGAAGTTCCCAATAGGATCTCAATTCTTAGGGAAACCCTTTTATGACTTTATCAACACACACACAGGGTGAAAAATGTAAACTTGTCCAGATGACCATCGATGACGAAATGGACTGCGCCGGCTCGTCCGGGACGTCAATTTTAATCAGGGAGGACACCCATATTGCCATGATTCCGCACATGAGCAAATCGCATGCAAATCGCATGCAAATCGGTGAATTCGCCCGAACAACCTCAGATAATGAAACGGACTACGCCGGCAAGTCTGGAGCGTCAATTTTACCCAGAGAGGATACCCACTTTGCTAAGATTCCGAGCACGAATAAATCACACGTTAATTAATATACTTAAATAATATAATATAATAAAATAAAATAATAAAAATAAAAATAAATCTTTATTTTAAACCTTATTTCACCTAGACCGCACCCCCTCCCTTCTTCCCAGTTGCGGCTCAATTGAAGCCCTGGCTCGCCCTCTTCTCTTCCATTTCGCGAGCCCTAGCAGGCAGCTGAGCTCGATTCTTCTTCTCCCGCGATCGACCGCACCCGAACGTGACCTAGCTCGGGAGCCTTCTCCCTCGATTCCTCCTCTTTTTCGCGGGCCGCTCGACCGAGCGGCTCTCCAATCACGAGACCTCAGCTGAACGACACTTCTCGAGGCTGCATTTCCTCCTCCCTAAATGCACCTCTTCCTCTCCCGTTACCTTATTTGGCCACTGTATCATGGTAAGTACGACTCTTTGTCTTTTCCTTGCTTATAAAAGCCCTACCTAGGGCAGGTTTGGGGGTTGTTGAAAAATTTATAGGAGAAGAAAGGAGAAAGGGTTGTTGCATCTTTGGTTGGTTGTTGTGGGATCTCTATTAGTCGTGTGCATTGGCTGTTGTTTTCTCGAGGCTTTTGGGTCAGGAGTCTTGTGCTTTTGCATCAAGGTTCTTAAGGGGGGTACTGCTGATTTTTTTTTTCTTAGGCTTGTTCTTGAGTTTGCTTTAGATCTGCATCAAGGGATGATCCTCTCCCTCTTTTTTGCAAGCATTTGAATGAATTATCTGTTTTATTCTACCTTCATGCCTTGGGTTTAATGTGCTCATAATTTATAAAGATGTATTTTGGCAATTTTGCTCTGATGATTTTTTTGCTTGGCGATATGAATAATCTTTCTAATCTGCATCACTTGGAATTGCCCCTAAATGCATTTTTTTAAAAATGATCTTTCTAGTCTGCGTCACTTGGAATTGCTCCTGAATGCATTTTTTAATGCACATGGAATTGGGAATTAATGTCACTTTAAGAACTAATTGAGTTTAATGTTAAGAATGAGAAAAGGTTATAGAATTGGTGAGCTGGAGCATATGAGCAAGATGCACAAATTAAAAAATACTTTTTCTGGAAAATGTGAAGGATGCTAGGGAAGCTTGCACAACAAAATTATTTGAGAAGAGAAAACTCAGATTTATTCTTGAATTGGGGCAAAACCTTTGATGAATGGGAACCATACAGAGGTCGTTGGAAGCCTATTGTTTTTATTTGTGTGCCTAGCTATTTTCAAGATATGTTGCTTCTTTTGAATAAATCTCAAGCAAGATGATCCCTCTCTTTCCCACTTCTACTTTTTCCTATCCTTCTGATGCTACTCATATTCATACATGCTGGTCTGTGGTGAAAAATACAATATCCTTTTTCATTTAAGTTGGTTGGTTAGTTTATTTTATTGGATGTTAAGAGTCACACACTTAAGTTGGTGGGTCACATTTTCAGTTTTGTTATGAAAATGCCTATCAGAGAATCAAAACTTCAAATCTTGACCTGATTTCATAACTTGGTAACTTTACTGATTGAGAACCGAAATACGAAATGTTACATGCTAAAGATTGCCTTTGTATAGCTTTTGGAAGTTTTGTAAGAATGTGATTGTAGGAATCTTTTGGATCCATATGAGGTAATGGATCAAAGGAAATTGGAAAGGCTCATGTGCCCTCTTGAAGGCTGCCATTCTATAAGTTGAACTGTATACTGAGTTAAATGCATAAGAATTGAATGGTCTATATGTAAATCTTTAATTTTTGAGATTTAGTATCTTTTGGAAGTAATTGCATATAAAATATTAAATTTTAATGTATTTGCATATTTAACACCCAAACTTAATCTTTACATGCATACCATTGAATTTCTGAGCGTTTACATTTGAAACATTTGATTCCTATGAATTTGCATTTTTGATACATGAAATTCAGCTTTCTTCTTCTAAATCTTTATGCATTTGGGTGACACATTTGCAAAATCTGAAACATTTGGGTGGCGTATTTGTAAAATCTGAAATATTTGGCTGGCATATTTGCAAAATCTGAAACATTTAGGAGCATTCCTTTGCTCTTTACTTGCTCCTTAGTTGAATAATTTTAAGCATGATTAAGGCCACATCTAGTTTACATTTTGGCAAGTTTGGAAAGTTGCAATTCTTCAGTTTACAAAATCTGAAAGTTTATATGCTACATTTGTAATGCTTGAAAAGTTTATGAATGCTTTGGTGCTACTCATGTGAAAATCTGAGATGTTGCATAATCTCTTTGCAAAGATTTATGGCTTTGGTGCTTTACATTTATAAAATCTGAAACTTCTCATATTTAATATTGGAAGGTTTGGAAGGTGGCTATACTTTACTTTTGGAAACTTTAAGAGTTTTATTTGGAAAATTAGAAAAATCTCAATGTTTTATTTTTGCAAAACCTGAAAGCTTTAAGTGTTTGGAAAATTTGGAAGCCTTTCAGAGTTATTTTTATTTTTGAAGATTTGAAAGTTTTTAGAGCATTTTAAAAACATGTTTCGTGGGTTGAATTGACTCCAGTTTAAAGCTTAAAAAAATACGTCTTTGGGCTAATTCGGATTGCAGTTTTGCCCTGTTTAGGAGGGGTTTTGTTGGCTATTTTTATGATGTATTTGACACTATTCTGGGCTGTTGTTTTGTTATGTCTTAGTGATATGTTTGGGCTGCACTTGAAGCTCTCTTTAGAGATATGTTTGGGCTGCATTTTGAAGCTCTCTTTAGTGGTGTTTGAGATGCATTTTGAAGCTCTCTTTAGTGGTGCTTGGGCTGCACTTTGCAGCTCTCTTTAGTGGTATTTGGGCTGCACTTGAAGCACTCTTTAGTGATATGTTTGGGCTGCATTTTGAAGCTCTCTTTAGTGGTGTTTGGGCTGCAATTTGAATCTCTCTTTAGTGGTGTTTAGGCTGCACTTGAAGCACACTTTAGTGATATGTTTGTGTTGCACTTTGAAGCTTTTTTTAGTGATGTTTGGGCTGCACTTTGAAGCTCTCTTTAGTGATGTTTGAGCCACATTTTGAAGCTTTATTCATTAAAGGTTAAGTTGCATTTTGAAGCCTTATTCGTCATTTTGAAGCTTTATTCGTTAAGGCTTAAGTTACATTTAGAAGCCTTATTCGTCATTTTTGAAGTTTTATTCGTTAAGGTTTAAGTTGCAATTTGAGTCCTTATTCGTTATGGTTTAAGTTGCATGCTGAGGCTTTTATACATCGATTTGGGCACTTTTAAGTGCTGATTTTTTTAGGCTTTTAAGCACATTTTGAGACTGATTCGATCATTATTTTGAAAGAATTTAAACGCCTTAAGTCCGATTCACTTGCGGTTTTGCCCTTTGCTTAGCTGATTCTTTTTTTTTTTTTGAAAGTGGGTCGATCTCTTTCTCTATTGATTTGTTTTTATAACGGTTAACTTAAAAATGAGAATTTCTGATTTAATTATTTTTCGGATTGATTTACGGCCTTAAAAAAATGATAAAAAAAAAGAAAGGTGAGGAAATTTAAAAAAAATTGGTATTTAGTCTGTTGAGATGATTGAAACCTAAAGGGGAACTAGGGTAGCAAACTATTCACAATTTCTTTTACATAAAAAGGATAACATTGTAATTGTGAGAATTATTGAGAATTTGAAGAAAGTAAAAGATTAAATGATTCAAGAGTTAGTTGCATGAATTGAAAGATTAGTATGCTATTAATTAGGACCCTAAGCATTGGATAGACTTAAGCCCAATTGTTTTAATTAAGATTGAAACACATTTCATGAACCTTTTTGCCAAAATTATAGGTTTATCCCCTATGTCTTAAGAGTCTGATAGTGAGTTAAGTTTGATCTAAATATGTTTGAGGATTAGTTGGAAAAAACTTAATTGAAGACAAACATTTTAAAATATTTCAGGCTCAAGTTAAAGTGTAGG